GGGGGTCCTGAGCCAGAGTGAGGCAGGGACCCCCTCCCTTGCAACCGCAGTCTGAATCCACCCTCCCTCCCCACAGCCGGCTCCAGCGTGATGTCTTGCGTGAGCTGCTTCTTCCTGTCCTTCGGGAACAGCGAGTCGGCAATGATCGCCTTGCTCTGCCTCTTCGGCGGGGTCAGCATCGCCTCCTGGAACGCCTTGGACGTGCTCACCGTGGAGCTCTACCCCTCTGATAAAAGGTACCTGCTGCCCAGCCCCCGGCTGTGCTGGGCGCTGTATGTCCCCCCCGGCTGCAGGCCCTGGGAAGCATCATAATGCCCCTTCGCAGATCCACGGTGCGTCCACACCTGCGGTCCCTGCGCCTCCTAAAGGGGAGAGGAACTAGAGAAGGGCAAGAGGATGATGAGGGGCTTCTCTGGGAGAGACTGGGGGCCAGGGCTGTTCAGTTTAGGAGATGCTCAGGGCAGGGGAGAGGAGAAGGGCTGACAAAATACTGAAGGGTGACGAGAAAACCAGTAGGGATTGAGCATTGACCGTCTCTCCCCGCACAAGAACAGCAGGTCCCACAATGAAACCAGTCGCCCATAGGTTTAAAACGAACACCAGGCCATTCTTTTTCACCCAGTTTGATCTCACGCCTGCTCCATTTGCTGCCTGGATTTCAAGCTTCAGATTTTTCCAACTATTTAGCTGAATGTCAAGAACAATTTTTCCAACCGTTGTGTGGAATTAAAGCGTGGGACTTGTGGCGGTGGAAGCTGAGGGTGTGGCCAGGTTGGGACTGGACATGTCCTTGGAGGACAGGGGCATAACGAGCTATGGAGCGGGGAGTGAGGGGCATGGCCCCCAAATCAGTGCTGCCTGGACCCTAAATGCTGGGGCTGCAAGGGAGAGAGGAACAAGGAGGGAAAGTGTGGTTAGATCCAGGTCATTCTCCCTCTCCCTCCACTCTCTGCCCCAGGAGACAGGGCAAGACTGACCTATGGTCTGAGCAGTCAATGGCAGCTCTTCTGTTATGTACGTTCATAGGTATCCAGGTATCCATAGGTTGTAGCCAGAGAGGAAAAGGGAATCCAAACTTGTGGCAGAGGTGATATCTTTTATTAGACCAACTCGATGTTGAAACCAGTGCTTCAGCCAGGGGAAGGAACCCAGGAGTCCCAGCACCCAGGCTGATGCCATCACTGCTGCCCCCAAGGCCAGATCTGGGCTGCTACGGTCCTGCTGGACTTACCCCCTTCCCTGCCCCACTGCCCTAACCCCGTGTCTCTTCCAGGACGACGGCCTTTGGCTTCCTCAATGCCCTCTGCAAGCTGGCGGCCGTGCTGGGCATCAGCATCTTCACCTCCTTTGTGGGCATCACCAAAGCCGTGCCCATCCTGCTGGCCTCAACCGCCCTGGCGCTGGGCAGCTCCCTTGCCCTGAAGCTGCCCGAGACCCGGGGGCAAGTGTTGCAGTGAGAGGGGTGGGGTGGGTGGTGGGGAAGGGGCC